ATGTAACCATTAACGATTTGTAACTATCTCAAATAAATTAAATTCTATGAGTTTAAATTTAAAAAAGGAATAATAAATTAAACTATGAGTATATTAAGGGACGAAATCTACTAAATAAAAGATCAATAGATTCGAAATTTTAATTTCAATTCTTTCGGCTGCAAAGCAATCTAAAAATCATAATTTTTTTATTTATTTAAAAACTATTTTATTTCTATAGCGACTGAGTCCATTTTTATAGTAGATAATTGCGAAATATTTAAAATTATACTCAAATACAAAGCTATAATAATTTTCAATTTTGTGATATCTAGATCTCGACAAAGCTATTTATTGTAATTTACCAGACTGAACTGTGGCTTTTTCCTTGATGAAAGCTGCAAAAAACTATTTTAAGCACAAATACGTCATAAAAACTCGTAATTTCGATTCAATTTAGAAAAGGGAGCTAAAGATTCCATCGAAGCTTAATACTACTTTAAATGTGGAATCTATCGATACTCTGTAGTATAGAGTACTTAAACAATACACCATACCACAAAATCAAAACATCAACCCATTACTTTATGAAAGGTAAGGCCTGATGTGTTTCGGATATTTGTACCAAATTTCAATTTAGGAAAAGGATTTAAATAATATTCTATTGAAGCTTTAATAGTACTTAAAATTAGAAAACATTAAGTTGATCGATACTCTTTGGTGTAGTTTGCTTGAACATTCCAACATACCCATTATAGCTCAAGTTACTTTTCCAAAGTAAAAGATCTAAATCCGGGGAGATGTCTAATATCGTATTTCCGATACATACCCAATTTGAAGACAACATTCACCGCGTAAAATAAGTACTTCAGCCTATAATATACATTCGGGACACAAATCGCCAACAAACGCAATTTTCAATGCACGTTCTCTGCCGTGGAAAGAAAAATAAATTATTTCACGATTTTTGAATAATAAATCCGTGGGTGAAAAATCAAATCATCACACCATTACTTTATGAAAAGTAAGGTCTGATGTGTTTCGGATATTTGTACCACATTTCAAACGCGTTTAGGATTAAATCATCGATAGAGAATAATTCATTCTGAAACTCGTATTTTCGATTCAATTTAGGAAAAGGATTTAAATAATATTCTTTTGAAGCTTCAATAGTACTTTAAATTAGAAACATTAAGTTGATCGATACTCTTTGGTGTAGTTTGCTTGAACATTCCATCATACCATTATAGCTCAAATTACTTTTCCAAAGTAAAAGATCTAAATCCGGGGCGATGTCTAATATCGTATTTCCGATACATACCCAATTTGAAGACAACATTCACCGCGTAAAATAAGTACTGCAGCCTGTAATATACATTCGAGACGCAAATCGCCAGCAAACGCATTTTTCAAATAAGCTAGCACGCTCTTTGCTGTGGAAAGAAAAGGAAGAAAAAAAATCTCTCTCCCTATTTCTGGATGACAAATCCATTGGAGAAAAATCTAAGCGTTCGCTCTACTACTTTATGAAAGGTAATAAAAACTGTGTAAGAACCTGGAATCGATTCCAGGCTATACGCATTTTTAAGCTTCTCTAAGTGCCTGGAGAAAAGTAAACACAAAAATGAAAGACCCCTCTTTACTTCGATCAATAAACAATAATAGTAATAAAAGGAAAAGGGGGAAGTAAAAAAAAAAGTTTCCACTCTTCATCCATTTTCGAAACATGGAACAGTTTTTATTTTGTTTGTTCGCTTTTAGCTCTTTTTGTACGAGAAAACAAAGCGTTCTAGGAGAAAATGTAAGTAAACATTGATCATAAGTCCAAATGCTTTCAGTGAGGTGAAAAAAAAAGAATAGAGACAATTTTTATTCCAGAGTTTATATGTTTGCAGACAAAACCTGGGATTGGTATGGCGTTTTATTTATCAATAATAACACTTGAAAAAAATCGTAAGATTGAAATCGATATTATTTTTTTTATTTATTTCATTTATAAAAATAGGTTAAAACAAATCGCAAAATCAATCTGGCTGGTTGAAAAATCCTTTTGTTAATATTTTTTTTTCGCCTTTAAGCATATTTTCAAAGATACTTATTATTGACTTCTGAATTAAAACGAAATTCCCAACATTTTCATTAAGTTTGCAATTAGTTAAAGACTAATTAAGCGACTGTAACAAAATCCATTTCATCTAAATGGCCGCTAATTGATTCATTAAGTTTTATGAATTGATATATGAAAATTATGAAATGATTTAAGTTTTGAATTGACCTTAGTTACAAATTGATTAATGTATTAATTGGTTTATTAAGTTATTAAATGATTTGTTAGAATATGAAATTATCTAGTAAGTTATGAAATTATTAAGTAGTGATATGATTCATTAAATTTATTCTGATTTGATTCAACAGAATAATTCACCCCCCCCCCTTTGTAACTTCAAGTCCCACGTTCCTTTTATTTTCACTTGTTCTAAGAGTAAGCAAAACCCCAGATTATAAAATATAAATTAGCTAATAAAAAGAAAAATTATTTTGAAATGAATTCCCTTGTTTTTGAGTTTGAAAAATATGCAGTTCTTGAGATTTAGGAAAATTTAGAAGCATTGTTTCAAATCGTATACTCTTTCTTTAAATAAATTGCAAGATGGGTTCATTTCATTATAACATTGGATAAATTTTATGTAAATTTTTTTTTAAACGTATGCATTTCTTCTCCTATTTAACTCCAAGCAGAAAGAAACTAAAGATTTATTTAATAGAGATTTCGATATTGATGCTTTAAAATCATCGCTTTTCAAAGAAAAAGTTATACTTTGCAATTTTAAAATTTGTTTCGAATATTTCAGACTTCAATTTAATTTACTCTCGTATTTTTCTTTAAAAAAAATAATCAATTTCACGATACGATAGAGCCATCCATAGCACTTTTTAAAACGAAATTCTAATGCATAACTTATGAATACATAGATTAAAGTAATATATTTATCAAAAATGTCGTTTTTATTTCAATTTCACAAAATAAATCTGCTTTTGATTTGAAACATACTCATTTGCTGTACAAAAATGTTGAGATTTACTGTTTCCATCAAATATTCTTTCTAAACAACGCCAGCGTATTAAAATTTATGCCATTTTATACAGCATATAAAAACTAAATCATAGCATTAAAAGCAAAGAAACATTGCGAATAACCATTTAAAATTTCCATTTAAATAAAAGAGACCATTATTCGTTTTTCGAATCTTTGTATAAACAAAATACTCCAATGATTTCCTTTTGAGAGGAAAATAAATATTTGCATTGAGCAAAGAACAAATTTAATTTAGTGGAAAAACTTGAAGTAGAAATAAACAGATTTTTAAATGTATCTCACAAAAATTTAATTAGTTAAAAATAAAGACTCGCTCTTGCAGATATTTTTTTTTTAAAGCTTCATAGCAAAATTCTGCAAGNTTTTTTCTTTTCTTAATAAGATAATAACAAAAGAACTAATGTAATTAGGCATTGGTAAAGGAGAACGAGAAAGATAATTGTCAGAACAAATATTTTCAAGAAAAACTTTCTCTAACAAATAAATTTTAAAGGCTAACTCAGATTTGAAAATAATTAAGCTTAATTTTAAACATATTAGAAAAAAAAAAACGCATAGATAACTTCGAGAAAAGGCAAAACAATACTAATAAAGAAAGGTTTGATAAAACTTAAATGATTAGCGGGGGAAAAAAATTCAGCTATATTTTGAACTGCAATATTTTACTGTCACCAAAATCAGAATCGGTTAGACTGCGCTTAACGTAAACGACGTTAGAAAGAACGTAAAATTTAAAATCTCTTTCACGTACATTGTTGACGTTATAGCGGCGAGTATGAAACATGATTGCTCTATAGTATGAGCAGTTTTTTCAGAACGTATGCACAGAACAGAAAGAAAGAAAAAAAAGAAGAAAATAGAACGGAACATCATGAGTAGCTTTTAATCGCTAATGATCGAATTTTCAAGTAATAGGACTCAAACTTAATGGCTCACGAGTGTAATATCAAATATGCTAGTGAAATAGTGCAAACGATATTTTAAGTTGCAAAAACGCACTTTCTCTGAATAAACATACCTTTTATTGGATATATTTGGATACTTGACCCTACAAATTAAGGAGGTGGTGGTATGGTCTCAATAGTTTGGCCAGGAGTGGTCAAATGTTTCGCCACCTTAATATTAATTTTACTTTTTGCGTATTTCGCTATACCTCGACGTTCAAAGATAATTCCATGCAAAAAATAATTAATAATAATTATTTATTATTGTTTATAATTGTATTTAATAGTCGAAAAAATAAGATTTGTGAGAAGTAAAATTTTTTCATAATTTTAAAGAACGTAATTTTATATGGCAAAATACAAAATTTCAACGAAAATTCGTTTTAAATAGTCGTTACATTATATAAAAATGGCACGGGGCAAATATATTCGAATATTTAGGTTTAAAAAACGTTTTAAAAAAATATATATAAGACTGTTTTCATTAAAGAAAAATGTCCTTTTTAACAGCTTCTTGGTATTTCTATTCACTACAACGTTAGTTTTTTTTTTAATTCATTCAAATATAACTTAACATAACTGTCCATTAAACTTATTTTAGTTAATTAAATCATAAAATTCAAGAGGGCAATGTAAATTTAGTCTCTGTNTAAACATACCTTTTTTTTTTAATTCATTCAAATATAACTTAACATAACTGTCCATTAAACTTATTTTAGTTAATTAAATCATAAAATTCAAGAGGGCAATGTAAATTTAGTCTCTGTAAAAAATTCTTTACTTAGACGAACTTTTCAAGATAATTAATTTGATTAATTTATTAAATAATCATTTTATTTTATCATTATTTATGAATTTACTTCAATAAAGTTTTATTAATCATTTTTTTAATCATTATTTATGAATTTACTTCGATGAAGTTTTATTAATCATTTTTTTATCATTATTTGTGAATTTACTTCAATATATATATTTTTCAGATAATTCCAAACACAATACCAGACAAATTGCTTAAAGAAGAATAGATTTATATCCCAGAAGGTAAGCAATTTTATTTGTTTAGTAAATTTTAAAGTAATTTATTGCTTTTGGGAGAAATATTTTTTAAAACATCCGACAGTATATTCAAATAACATTTCTGGGTCTATCGCAAAATGAATGACAATTTTAATTTATAAAGCTTCCGTTATGCCAAAATTAATTAATTTTAAATCCATTTAATAAATTATTGAGATTACAAAGCATTAAGACAACGATTTTTAATATTATTATATTAAGAAGTTTAATCTATTTAATATTTATGATAGATAAATCATAAAATATTGAAGGAAAGAAATTTACTTGAGATATTTAATTATTTTAGTTATTAAAAGGGTTAAAAAAATGAATAAAAACCATAAAAAGAGGAGACGCATAAAGTTAATTTGCATTTAATTTCATAAAGGAGAAAATAATTTTAATTTGTTCTTACTTTAAATAATTCAAACATAATTTCAAGTGGAAAAAAAAAGTAAATTAAAAATTAGTTCGTCATTTCATCAAAAGAAAATATTGAATGTACTTAAAATCAATGCCACAAGATGAAAATGTTAAATAACTTTCGAGCGAAATTCACGAGATATAATTTTTTCATTGAAATGAAAATTAATTTAATTATTTTCCAAACTGAATTAGTTTTTTTTATATGCTTTATTAGTTTAGTCGTCTTTAAATGAACACAACTATAATCACAAGTCATTAATTTTTGAATGAGTTTCATAAAAAAAATTTTTTTTTTAATTTAAGGATGATAAAATAAGATTTTCTTTTAATAAATATTAAACAATTTATTTTAACAATATCAAAAAAAGTTTTTATTTTTAAAACTGCAATAACAAAATGAAGCATGCAAATATCGCTATTTTAACTCAAATTTTCTAACATAAAAATAGTTTTTATGAATGTTATTTCTATTTACATATAAATCATAAAAATAATCATTATATGATCATACAATGAATCTTACTTTTAATAAATAATGATATATTTTATTAACGATAATATTATGCAAAATTGCTTAGAAAGAAAAAGCACATTTTCGCTTCGATTTCGGAAGTACAATAACAAAATGGAATGACAAATAAACAGAACTTCCAACTTTTTAGACAAAATTGTTATTTTTATCTATTATAAGAATAATGAAATGAAATATTAAATATATTTGAATAAGAATGAATTTATCTAAATTATTTAAATGAGTTACGCGGTATGCTTTCTATAAGTATAACAAAAAATGTTTTTTTTCATAAATATTAATTATGCAACATTATTTTGAAAAAAATATTAAAACACTTTCAAAAAAAAATTATTTGACTTCAAAAATATAACAACAAAATAGAGTACGCAGATAAACATTATTTGATCGCGACATTTCTAACAAAATAATTATTTCTATGAATGTCGATCTATCTTATTTATTTTTTATCTCTTTGTTATACAAACATTAAACTAACGGAAAAAACGATACTGATTAAGCTTCTTTTTTATTCTTTAATGTAAAACTCACCGTACCCAATAATCATACCGGTAAAAGGAAATTTAAGTAAATAAACTCTTCGATTCAATGTGGAAGTACAAACAGAAGAGTTAGGCAATTTAACAGTCGAGGTTTACTTTTTATGATCGATATAAATGGGTTTTACAAATTCTTAATGATTGCCCACAGCCCGCGCTTACGGGGAGAGGAAAAAGATCAAAAATACGGGCTGCTTCCTTTTGAAATCAGGGATTTAAAGACTACAAAATCGTTTTCCAACTTTTCTTCTTTTACTCTGCCACTAAGAAAAAAATAAAATGTTGCGCAAAATATAAAACAGCGGATATAAGAAAATTAAGAAAAGGAAACTAATGTCCGTTCTTGAAAGAACGGGAATAAATTATCCAAAGAAATGTTAAATAATTTTAAGATAAAACTCGGCTGAATGAAAATTACTTTTAAATTTCACGATATATATATATATATATATATATAAAACAAAGGAAAATTACAGATTAATGAAAAAAGGGGGAAAAAGAAAATTAATAATAAAAATAACAAAAACTGGGGGGGAGGGAAATCCGAAAAAAAAAGGATAGAATTCTTCTAAAAAATCCGGAAAATAAAAGATATAATATTTTCATCAGCCCACACGTATATATCCGTAAAATCCCGTTTTATATCCGTAAAAAAGAGTGCTTTCCAATATTGTATCAATATAGCCAAAGCAAAATATATCAATACAATAGTGTGAGTTAACAGACAATAGTTTTTGGGGATATAATCGTGTGGGCTGATGAAAAGATTATATCTTTTATTTTCCGGATTTTTTAAAAGAATTCTATCCGTTTTTTCAGATTTCCCCCCCCCTCCCCAAGTTTTTGTTATTTTTATTATGAATTTTCTTTTTTCCCCTTTTTTCATTAATCTGTAGTTTTCCTTTGTTTTATCTTCATTTTGAACTTATTTTATGAGTTCTATTTACTTACAGCTTATGAGCAATAAATGAAACTTATTGTTTTCCGTAATCTTCTTCGTGTTTTTTTGTATTTATTTAATATGTTATATATATATAATATATATATCGAACTTGTTACGTCAAAAAAAAAAAGATTTTTATATAAATAATTTATACATATATCATCTTAATGTTAATTTAAATTCTTACTTCGAATTTTTTTCGAAATAGAAAATTACATTTTTTCGGAAAAATCACAATGTAAATTTATTGTAAACCAATTCTTTTCTATTTAATGCTTAATTATTTTCGTCTTACTTTTAAAAATAAAATTATAATTGTTGTATTTAGACTTATAGTCAACTATCAATACAATCATATTTATTAGTAGAAAGTTGAAGGGACGCTTATAATTAATAATTAAATAATTTCGGGAAATAATTTCGAGATAGCAAGTTCAGAACTAAATATGTTCTAAAAAGTAGAAAAATATATTCTAAAATATTACTCTAAAAAGTAAAGTCATGAAACATAAGAATAAACTACTAATAAATGTGTATGAAATGATAGTTGACTATAAGCCTAAATACTACAATTATATCTTACTTTTAAAAATAAAATTATAATTGTTGTATTTAGACTTATAGTCAACTATCAGTACAAACATATTTATTAGTAGAAAATTGAAGGGACGCTAAAATAATTTCGAGATAGCAAGTTCAGAACTAAATATGTTCGAAAAAGTAGAAAAATATATTCTAAAATATTACTCTAAAAAGTAGAGTCATGAAACATTATAATAACTACTAATAAATGTGTATGAAATGATAGTTGACTATAAGTCTAAATACAACAATTATAATTTTATTTTTAAAAGTAAGACAAAAATAATAGTATGCATTTAAATAGAAAAGAATTGGTTTACAATTAACTTTCGTTGTGATTTTTCCGAAAAAATTCATTCTCTATTTCGAAAAAAAATTCGGCATAACAAGATTTTGAGAAGAAACCTTTCGACATAGGAATTCAAATTAACATTAGGTAAATATATAATGCCAAGGGAAGAAAATATTTTTTTGACATAACAAAGTTTTTGAGATATCGAGAATATACAAAATTTGATTTTCTTTTAACAAATGGTAAACAATTTCTTTAAAAAATATAGATTAAATTTTAAATGAGAATACTTAATTCTAGAAACATAATCACAAAAATGGCGTTCGCAAATAGACATCATTTCATCTCAACATTTTAATCAAAAAAATTATTTTATGGATTTTTTTTTTTAAAAATCTTTTTGCAACACAAAACTAACGGAAAAAACGATACTTAATAGCTTTTGTTTTTTAATTCTGAAATGTAAAACTCACCGTTCCCAATAATCATACCGGTAAGAGGAGAAATTAAAGTAAATAAAGTCCTTCGATTGGATGTGAAAGTACAAACAAAAGGCAATTTAACAGTCGAGGTTTACTTTTATGATCAATATAAATGGGTTTTACAAATTCTTAATGATTGCCCGCAGCCTGCTCTTACGCAAGAAAAAAAAAAGAAAAAGAAAAAAAAAAGACGAAGAACAGGCTGCAACGTTTTGAAATCAGGGATTTACTGACTGCAAAATCGTTTTTTCCAACTTTTCTTTTTTCTCGGACTCTTAAAAAACGAATTAAATTTTGTGCAAAATGTAAAGTAGAAATTAAAAGTTCTCTTTCGAGAAAACAAAAAAGAGAATAAATAATTAACAAAAGAAATGTTTGGTTTCTTTGAAAAGCTATTAAATGAAAGTTCGCTGTGCATAAATTTTTGCCAAGGGTTCAAAATTAATTATTTGTCAAAAGAATTAACATACCAACTTTTAAGAAATCAATATACCCACTTACAAATCATTTCTATGTTATAGCTACTTAGCTTTTGATGAATTATGAAGGGAAAAAAAGAAAGGTTATTAATACTATATAAAATATATGTAGTTACCAGTAAAATTTATTATGGATCAAAAACTCAATAGCCTATCAAAATTGACAATAATTCAATTTTTAATATTGCAAATTAATTAAAAAAAAAATTCTTTTGTTATTTTAGTCAGGTGTTTTAACTCACTTTTCACCAATCCCGTCCATTATTCTGTGCACCTGCATCCCCCCCCCCAAAAAAAAATAATAATAATTCCAACTANCCGGCAAAAATTAAAAAAAAAAAAAAAAAAAAAAATTGCTTTTCCAAAATTGCATCAATATTCAGTATTAACAATTTAAAACTAAGAAATATATTCCATCTACGAAACTGCTCATTATTTCTAAATTAGCTAAATAATATAATATTTGATCATTTCAGCTCGTTTACATTTTGTATTTGAAACCTTGTTTACACTGCGTAATTAAATATTGATTTTAACTGCATAAATAAATAGTGATTTTTAAATTAACTTTTTTTTTTATTTAAATGTACTATATTGCAATTTTTCGGTCAATAAACTTCAGTTAAAAGCAACCAAGTAAATCGCGTGATCAGTAATAAATAAAACCGTTTTTTTTTTTCGATTAGAAAGTTAATAAAATTTGTATTATT